GAGCTTTGGGGTGGTGTCCAGATTTTGACTATCACAAATAAAACTGCTATGAACATTCAGGTACAGGTTTTTGTGTAAACCAGTTTTCATTTCTTTAAGCTATATGCCTAGGAGTGGGATTGCTGAGGGTCAAATATATATTTAACTTTCTAAGAAATTACAAAACCATTTTCCAGAGTGGCTGTACCATTTCACATTCCCATCAGAATTATATGTGAGTTCTAGTTGCTCCGTATACTTGTCAGCACTTGGTACTGTCAGTATTTTTTTTATTTTAGCCATTCAAAAAGTATGTAAGTAATGGTATCTTATTGTGTTTTTAGTTTGCATTTTTCTAACTGCTAATAATATTAACTATCTTTTCATGTGCTTTTTTGTCATCCTTATGTCCTATTTGGTGAAGTGTCTGTTCAAGTCCTTTACTCATTTTTTAATTTTAATTCACTTATTTTCTTATTACTGAGTTTGAGAGTTCTTTATATATTCTCGATACAAGTCCTTTGTTGGATATGCAGTTTTCAAATATATTCTCCTAGTCCATATCTTGTCTCTTCATTATCATGACAGTATCTTTGGAAGAACAAAAGTTTTAAAACTTGATGAAGTCCAATTTATCAATTTTTTTTCTTTTATAGATCATTCGTTTGGTGTCATTTCTAACAACTCTTTGCCTAACACCAGGTCACAAGGATTTATCCTATGTCTCTTCTAAATTCTTTATAGTTTTATGTTTCTCATTTAGATCTATGATCAATTTTGAGTTAATCTTTAGGTAAGGTGTGAGCTTCATATCAAGGTTTATTTCTTTTCCTATGGATGACCAGTTGTTCCAATAACCATTAGTTGAAAAGAACATCTTTCCTCCACTGAATTATGTTTACAATTTTGTCAAAGATCAAATGGCTGTATTTGTATGAGTCTATTTCTGGACTTTCTATTTTGTTTCATTGATCTCTGTGTCTATATCTTCTCTGTGGGTCTCTTTAAACAAACAAATAACAGACAAATTTGACACATGTCCTGAGCAATAAAGAGTTGGGGGAAAACCAGTCCCTGTGTGTCCAAGAACTAGTAATAATTAATTCCTCCCATCATCTATTTTCTGCCACCTCCTAACTCAGATTATCACAGAAACTGAGGTGAATATCTCAGTAAAGTTACCAGTTAGCTTCATAGTATAACAAATTAATAAAAACTTCTTCCTTAAATGCTTTCCTCACTCTCTGTTTTCATGGTGGTGTCAACTGAAAAATATGCCAGCTTCCCATGTCTCAGAGCAGAGGAAAGGGAGTTACACTCTGTTCAGAGGAAAATACAGCTCTGTTTACCAGCTAGGGAGATATGAAAATGGAAACATCTTTTACTATTTAATTTGAAATAAAGTGTCATCCAAGCCATAGTGGAATTTTTATTACATCAACAACTGGCCTCTGTTCAAAATAAGTTTCTGGGTTGCCTTTCAGCATGGGCCATTTGAAAGAGGAAGATCCAGAATGACATTCCTGTGCATGGAAATATAAGTGGATGGACACACAGACGGATGGAAACAGATCTAGATAGTCTCCTTTCCTTCCCCCTAGCCCAAACTGGGATAATTTAATACATACTATCTTGTAACTAAAACAGATCATCTTTGCTGCATAGAAAGCTAGAGTTGACAGCACTAATTATTTCTCATTGTTTCTTTTGATCACAGGCTGTACAAGTGGTAGAGTCGGTGTTAAGTAAACATGTTTTCTCCCTCCAGGCTAATGTTGGAGGACTACTCCTCTTTTTGGATGTATTAGGATAATAATTGCAGCTAAGAAATAATGTACTTTTTGTTGAAATGACCAGATGGAGACATGACTTTTACAAAGACTTGTGAGTGTTTGAATTCCAAGATCCACATGGCATCTTCTAATTATTGGGCAGTTTTTCAGCAGTCCTGACAGTTTTAGGCTGTGAATAGTGGCTTCCTTCAGGTACAAACACATCTTATCCTGTTACTCTGTGCTTTCTGAGCTGAAGTCAGCTTTTCCAAGGGACATTTCCCCACTCCCATTCCACTTGTGTTAATTGTGCTCTCAAGTGAACCAATGAGCATTTACTTATTATTTACCTTTTACTTTTCTCACTTTGTCTTATGCCTATAGGTAGGAAGGGATTAGATTGTAGAATGAGAAAAGGGGCCACCCTCATTTATTCATTTATGCATTCATTCATTCATTCTATAGATATTTATTGAACACCTACTCTGTGCCAAGTACAGTGGTCAACAAGGTAAACTTTGCCTTCAAGGAGCATACAGTACAACAGGTGATAGATACAAGTAAACCAGCAAGTGGCCTAGGAGAGCCATGTAGAGACCCCTACTCAGCCTTGAGAATCAGAGAAGTTACCTGCAGCAGATGGCAGCTGCGATGAATCTTGGAAGACAAATAGGATTTGGCCTATGAAGGGGGTGGGAGGTAGGGAAGGGTGTCCAAGCAGACAGCATTGCCTACATAAGGGCCCAGAGAAGACTTTTTCGGGGAACTGCAATGATTTTAGTACTACAAGAACACAGAGTGCATGGGTGGGTTTTGCATTGTACAGTATTTGACAGTACAGTATTGCTTAAAACACACACACACACACACACACACACACACACACACACAGACACAAATATATATTCTTGAATCTACCACAGGCCCCACTCCTTTCCATTGTTCGACTCTATCTTGATCTATTTTATTACCTGCCTGGCTCATGTAGGTATTTGACTTTGGGATCCTCTACCTCTGAACACAGATGAAAGATTAATTTCAAACTATCTCAGTTGCTATTTCTGATATGACAGGAAAAGAGACCAGCTTTTTGATGGAACTCTGAAGACCAACTCAATGAAAGTTATTACCCATGAGATATGACCACGAGGATTACTCATATACATTAGAAAAGAAGGATTTTTTTTCTCAGGGAAGGAAATGGAGTATAAAGACAAATATTTATTGAGGTCCTATCATGTGTCAGGTACTATGCTAAGTTATTTTATATCAGGACTTTCCTTAAAAGATGATAGCAATTTAAGAGGTCACAGGTGCGTGTATAAAATTAAATTTATAACTTATAAGGTGATTTTATGCGTCTCAAAATATTTTATTTATTAGAATGTGACTTTAATATTTAATGCAATCAAATATTCATCACTATTTATTGAGGGTCAGTTATGTGTTAGGTACTGGGCCACTAGGGATACAGAACAGACATGGTCCCCGCCTTGTTCACTAATGGGGCCTTTCTCTCAGCGTGGACAATTAGCTCTGTTTGGTCCTCTGAGCTGTCAGATTTGAGTCACCCCAGGATTAAAGGAAATCTTTGAAAGAGTAAGTCAGAGTTTGTAACCTTGGTGAACTTTAACCAATTTTTATGTCTAGTATTGACGTGAACCAAGCCAACCCTTCTCCTTCTTGGGATGAAAATCTTGGTCACCAGGTAAATCAGTAGCAAACACCTCTGCTGAGGAACCCAGGTGACGTTAGCTTTCCGGCACTTCTCACGTTGATGTTTAGGGTTTTGAATCCCCTGTTAAACTGACTTTAAAAAATAACTTCTTGGTTCTCACAATGGAAATTGAGTCACAGCTGGTTTATATGTTCATACTTGCATTTGATGTGAGTCATGAGAAATGAGGATATTTATTTCCCAAGGAAGGAGAAGAATCTCAGTTAACTTTGATCCGTCTCAGTGGCTTAGCAGAGTGCTTCAGGCAGACTGTTGCTCAATAAATATTTGCTGATCCAATATCCAATTAGCCAGAGATCTATATCTGCAAAGAAAATTTGTCTTTGCCAATCTGTCAGAGGGCCTGTCTTTGTGGGACTGCCCTAGGTTTTGGAACCTTTGCCCATAAGGAACTCTATTGTGGCGTGAGGAACTGGCTGTGTTTACACAACACCCCTCTTTCCCAGGTATGGCATCCAGGTAAACTTAGACTGTAGTAAGCCACCCTGAGCACGTGCTTCTTCCTTCTTCTTCCAGGCTCCTCAGTTGGCCCTGTTCACTGTTATCCCAGCTCACTTCTAGCAAGCGTCACTGGACCCCAGCGCAAGAGAAGAATTCCAGTTTCAACATTTTGACCTGCTGAAGTAGTGGGGCAATTGAGGTAGGGCAGCCACAGGCACAAAATGATGAAAGTTTGTGAATCTGGTGATGGGTGTCTGGGGTAACCTTGGAAGGGTAGGAAAGGCTCTATCAGAGGAAAGGGACTCTCGAGTTAATGATTACAGTGAAGCAGAAGGAAGGACACAAAAGGAGCACATGGGAGAAACAGGAGGACTTGGGTGAAGTTGAAAATGAGATGGAGAGAGAATTGTGAATTGCAGAAGTTCAGAGGGAGGGGCTCTTGTTCTGTCTGTGAAAAACCAATAGTTTGGAACGACTGACCAGCAGAAAGAGAAGCCAAAGGAAGCATATTCTGAAATATTTGGGAGTATTTGATATCAAAAGGAGATTCAGAATTACAAAGAGAAGAAAATGGAAAATTGAGGCAGTATTGAGGAGGGGTAGCTTCACAATATTTCCATCAGACTACAGATTCACAGAAGGAATCTGTAGGCACCGTGGCTTAGCGGTTAAGTGCGCAAGCTCCGCTGCTGGCGGCCTGGGTTCGGATCCCGGGCGCGCACCGAGGCACCGCTTCTCTGGCCATGCTGAGGCCGCGTCCCACATACAGCAACTAGAAGGATGTGCAGCTGTGACATACAACTATCTACTGGGGCTTTGGGGGGAAATAAAATAAATAAATAAAATTATTTAAAAAAAAAAAAAAAAGAAGGAATCTGTAGAAGCTGGACTGAATACCAGGATTACTGAGGTGGGTGGAGCACAGAGCAGCCAGAGGCTCTGTTGTGGCTTACAGATGGGGCAGAGTACTGGAAGATATGCAAATGCTGCGGTGATAGGAAGCAGAGTCACCAGGCTCCCCAACACAGTTGCTGGGAACTCGGAGGTGGCTCTCGGAGGTGGCTCTCAGAGGTGGGTTTGGAGAGACACTCAGCTTTGGAAGATTGCTCAGGAGTGAGCCGGACTCCCAGAAGCACTGTAATTTCTTTAGATCATCTGACAGCAGACTCTGAGGTTTACCAGCCTCAGGGAGATTGGGCCACTGTGAATTTTTTTTTTTTTTTCTGTAATAAAACTACCCCCAGCCAGCCAGACTGGAAATTACTGCCTGAGCTGTTTTCCAACGTGGTTTTGCTGGCAAAACCAGACATGAGTGTTTCTTCGACTCTCAAGGGTACTGTTTACACTGACTTTATTTTTACTGCCAGCTTTCAAGTGGGAAGAAGGAGATTACGTGCAGAGGTCAGCAGGTGAACAGAAGGATCCCTGTCCTGCTGCTCCTGGGTGTGCCCGTGTGTGCGCGTGTGCATGCCTCTGTGTTTGTGCCTCTGTGTGCTCATGGCTCTGTGCGTGTGTGTGCGTGTGCTTGTGTGCATTTCCACATGCAAATTGTTGTGCCCTGATCTGCTGGACAAGACCTGATCACTTGTTTGTGGGCATAATGACAGGTGCCAGGCTGGTTTTTTGGCAGTTTCCTATGTGTTTATTGTAAAGAAGGTAAATCAATCTGCAGGATTTTCTGGATTGGAGGGCAAGAGATGTTTACTGTCAACAAGATAAGAACACGGAGAGAGAAGATGCTGAGCTCCAAGCTGCATCTAGTGTTAGGACAAGAGCATAAAAAGGTGGGAAGAAGCCAACCACAGGGCATTCCTGTCTTGAATGGGACTTTTGAGTGGGAAATAAAACTTGGAAAATTGCCATTTGGTCAAAGCACCAGCCAATAGAGCTAAATGGAGTAAAATTAGATTGGACTCAAATTCAATTTCATCAACTCTTCTTTTCAAATTCTTTTTTTTTTTAATTCCCCAAAAGATGACAGATGGATGCTCACAATTTGGAAATGAGAACTTGAGTGAAGAATTGAGAAGGCAAGTCTCTGGTCCATGCATGCATTCCCAGAGACTAACATTACTGGTAAAGCTACCCACAATTGTTGTCCCCCAGTGAGAAACAAACCAAGAGATTGCTGTTCCACTCGGGATTGACCAAGAAGCCATGAAATCCCTGACTGCAGGAAACTTAGAAGATTGCCTACTGAATCAGGTAAGGACAGATACTGGTCCCTCCCATGCAACCCTCCCTACCCCTCCTCACCCCTCCTCACCCCTCCCCACTCCTCTGCCCCCACCAACCCTGATTGAATCAGAAAGGATTTCAGGCTGCTTCCAAAGATACATAAAATGCTCCTCAGGATCCCAAGACTATCACCCATGAGTGTTTAGGGATTTACTATATTTTGGTCTTGGCTTTGAGGTTCTAGTGCCAGAGGCACATTGGGTATAGTGTGTGAAACAGAGAGTTAGAACTTGGGTTGGAACTCCAGCTCTGCCACTGATGCTTGTGTGGCCATGAGCAAGGCACTTAACCTGCCTAAGCCTCAGCTTTCTTCTCTGTAAAATGAGAGTGATAAGAGGGTCTTAGTGGGGCCATTGAAAAAGCTTTAAGCCCTAGACTAGCCCGTAACCCTTAGTTTAAATGCTTGAGTTTTAAGAGTGGCTCTGTGCCTTAGTAGCTTCATCTACTGGAAAGGCTTAAATGAGATAACATTTAAGGTCTGGCTCTTAGAATGTTTTCTCAATTCTCCCTTCAAGCTCTCATTTCCAAATTGTGAGCCTCCATCTATCATCTTTTGGGGAATTTATTTTTTATTTTTATTTTTTTTGTGAGGAAGATCAGCCCTGAGCTAACATCCATGCTAATCCTCCTCTTTTTGCTGGGGAAGACTGGCTCTGAGCTAACATCTATTGCCAATCCTCCTCCTCATTTTTTTTCCACCAAAGCTCCAGTAGATAGTTGTATGTCACAGCTGCACATCCTTCTAGTTGCTGCATGTGGGACGCGGCCTCAGCATGGCCAGAGAAGCGGCGCGTCGGTGCGCGCCTGGGATCCGAACCTGGGCCGCCAGTAGCGGAGCGCGCGCACTCAACCGCTAAGCCACGGGGCCGGCCCTCATCTTTTGGGGAATTTAAAAAAAAGGATATAAAAAGGAGAGTCGATAAAATCTTCTGAGTTTAAGGCAAAGCTTTTGGAAAACTGTAAAACTGCTAGATTAAAAAATATGTATGATTATAGTTTTAGCACATATCAATTAAAAACTAATTTAATTTCTTCTATATAGAGTCAAGGGTCTTAGAATGTTAGAACTTGAAAGGTCTTTAAATATTATCTAATTTAAGCCTTTCCATTTACAGATGAAGTTACTAAGGCACAGAGCCACCCTTAAAACTAAAATATTGAAATGAAGAGTTAGGGGCTAGTCTCAAGCTTTCATGCCTTTACATGTAAAAAAAGCAGAGGGATAAGTGAAGTTGATTTCTTAGGCAAAACTATTGAGAGAGATAGATAGGGAAAACCTGTGATGATAAAAAAATTATAGCAAACAATGTGATTTCCCATTATTTCTCTTTTTGGGGGCTGTAAGTGGACGGGCTATTGGCCGACACCTTCCGACAGCCCTGTGTTTTCTAAATGAAAAAGTCCAAATTTTTTAGCCTGACATTACTTGAATGTCAGGCTAAAAAATTTTCTACCCTCCGCCTCCCTGCCTCTCCAGTAGCAGAAATTCTAAACGGTGATGCACATGTTGAATCCAGCCTGTGCACGTGTTCTCTTTGGCCTGCAGAGAATTACAAATTCTTCAGATTTGCTGCTAACGTTTCAAAACAGTGAGATTTTGCGTAGAAATCCAGATTATCATCTTCTGTGGAAAAAAATCAGGGTATCTGGCAACCACAGGTCCCAGTTTCTTGCCTGACAACCACGGGCTGGAGCTGAGTGTCTGTTCAACAGAGCATGTGCCACCAGCTCTGGGCTGCAGCCGTCCTGGGTCTGACACCCGCCCCCACCCCTCATGTGCGCCCCCTACTCTGCCCCAATAGGTGGTTGGATCGGCCACTCCTGCCCCACAAGAACTGTGCCCTGAGAAGGTCTCAGGCTGGAGCTTCCCCTCTCTCCTCTCCTGGGGAGAATATCCTCTCCCCTCTCCATTCTTCTGTCTCATACCCAACCTGCAAACTCAGTGCAGAATCCACTTTCTCAAGAAAAGTTCCCTGACACTCCAGGACAAAACGTTTTTGCCCTCCTATGAACTGCCATCGTAATTAGTACTGGTAATGTTTATTTGGCAACCTATTGTATATTGACTCCTGACACCTTTCCTATTATTATCTTTGGTGGCAACTGAACTATTATATCACTTTATTCTATATAAGTTTCTGGAGGGAAGAACAGTGTCTTGGATATCTTTATTCTCCCTGACATTCACACAATATCTTTGCACATATGTGGTCAGAAATATCTTTAGGGTTCATTGAAGATAATGCAAGAGGAGTGTAAAAGGTGCTGGTAGGTTGAGACCCATACAGTATCTCATTTAATCTAATCGGCAACCATGTGACACCTGTATACAACCTCCATTTTTGCAGAGGAGGAAACAGAGGCTCATGTGGATTAAATAACATGTCCAAAGTCACACAGCTAGAAAGTGAAGGCGCTGAGGTTTCAGTCTACTCTTTCTTACTCCAAAGCCATATTTCCTCTGCTAAACCCCTGTCTATCTCCACAAACACACACTGAGCACTGCTTTGTGCAAAACACTGCTCAAAACACAAGTCTGGGATGTGGCCTGCTTAATGAGAGAGAAATTCTGTGTTTCAGGTAGCTTTAAGGATGGCCCTATCCCACCTGCTGATTTTTCACATAACTCCAAAGGTAAAAGGAGGAAGTTCCACATGCAGACAGACAAATGCTTAATATAATACATGGCCGACCACAAGGGCCACAACAGAAATTTAAACAGGCTGGAGGAGAAGAGAGGAGTGTTAGCTCTGATGGGAGAGGTGTTTCACAGAAAGAAGAGTAGAGACAAATCCTTAGAGCATGGGTAGGGTTTTAGTAAGTGAAGGAGTACAGAAGAGGCCTTCCAGGCTAAGGGCACCCCATCCAAGCAGTTGGCATGGGTTTCACTCATGGTCGCCTCGTCCTTGAGGAGGCAGAGCAGCACAGTGGTATGAACATGGGCTTCAGAATGCCACTGCTTGGGTGTGGATCCCTGTTCTGTGACTTACTAACACAGGGACTCTGGGCAAATCACTTGTACTCTCTAAACTTCAGTTTTCTCATCTGTAAAATGGCGATAATCATAGCATCCACCTTAAAGGGTTACTGGGAGCTTCAAAGGAGCCAACCCTTATGAAGCGTCCTGCACAGGGGAAAGACTTACCAGTCTTAGCTCCACAGTGCTGCTGTTGCTATGGCTCTGCTACATGTAGGAGCTGCGGATATTCCGTGAGGCCCAAGCACTGGTTCATGGAAGAATTAGTCTGAAAAGATGGGGATATGATGGTGTAAATTTAAGTTTCCATCTCTTTATCACTGAGTTTAAGTTTCCATCTCTTTAAATAATTAACCCTCGGAAGACAGAGATGGTGTCTCTTCTTTTTTTAAAAACTGATTATTGCATTTAATGCAATTTCAGAATTAAAAATCTGACTTCCTGTTGTCTGGAGGGAAGTTCCCTGCCCTTTTCCCTCAGTGGCACTTATCACAGATGACATTCACACAGGCCACATGCTCACAGGTGTGACGCAGCCTGTGTGACATTCCTGGTATGCTATTTAGCACCAGCCCTCTACCTCTCTCTCAAGAAAGCACGTCAAAATGCAAGTGAGTTAGAATCATGTTATAATAGGGAATAATCTTGAATTCTCAATAATTTATATTTGAAACAGTAAATTGTTCAGAAACTTGAGCTATTAACAGTAGCAAATGATGTGTGGGACAACAACGGGCCTGACGCTGTGTTTGGGGAGGAGGAAAGTAGGCCAGGATAGGGATGTGTACGTGTGTGTGGGCACCTAGACATGCCCTGGAGAGAGAGAGGCCCACAAAAAAATGGATGGCACCCCTAAAGGGTGCCTCTGATGGCTATTTTTACAAAAACTCTGCTTAATTAGAGTAACTGCATCTGCATGCCAACAAGTATGCCATAACTTCTGAAGAGTTGGATTAGACAATCTAACCACATCTGGCAGCATGTGCCTGATTAATTTAATACAATTCATTTCTGCTTTTGCTGTGTCACATCCACAAATGCAGTCTTTTAAAAAGAAAAAGACACTTTTGTTCATTGGCCTTATCAGCAGAGGCGGGGAGTAAAATTTCAACAGGCAACAAGGTCAAGTTTGGATTGAACGTGCTTTGATTCTGTCCTCTTAAATTATCATAGTTCCCCCTTAAATTTGTTTCAAAGCTTTGCCATGAAATAAATTTGGTGACAAGGCTGCTTCGTGGCTGCAACTGGTATCTTTCTTGCTTCCTGACGTTTGAGAGGCAATAAAGGTATTCTGGGGTTGGGCTGGTGATGGGTCTCTACACATGGTGGATCCTCCTTCTTCACTAAGATCACTGCCTGTAAAGCTGCCTCAGGCCCCACTCCCAGCTTTTCCATACCCTAAATGGTATCTTCTTGCTCTGCCTCACTTGGCTGTAGTCAAGACAAGTGGAGGGAGAGAGCCTGGGGTTTCTGGGTTGTGGTACATCATGAGAGAGACAAGAGGTACGTGGCACCAAGCCTGGGACACCCCAGCACAAACCCCTTCTGGAGCTGCTGAATAGCTCTGTGATGCTGCACAGGTAGGAACCAATTGAAGGAAATGTAGCCAGAGATGTGGGGTGGAAGAGGCTGCCATCACCTAATGAGACAGAGGCTCCCACTTGGCTCCAGCGGCTTGGGCACTGTGGGACAGGCCTGTCTAAAGCAGGGCTCTTCCCCCACTGCTCTGGTCAAGCCCTGCATCACTGTCAGGCCCCTGCTGTGTTGCCCTTGTGTGCCTGTGGGATGCCAGAACAATCAGTGATACCCAAATAAACAGAGACTTTGGACTTGGGAATATCATAAGCCTTGACTCCAAACTGAGGGCATGTTTAGGTTCAGGAAGAGAATAAAGGGTAGGCGATTCTTCCGGTGCTTCTACTTGAGAGTGTGGCACAGTGTGATGGGAAGAGGAGCTGGGGAACTGGGGCATTAGGTCTAGTCCTACTGCCAACTACAGTGTGACATTAGGAGAGCCACTCTGTCACTCTGGCCTTCTGTAAAGTACCACCAGACAAGATGATTTCTTTAATTCTAAGATCCCAAGTCTAAATTGCAGCAAAATGATGGGTGACGAAAATCAAAACCAGAATCTGTGGCTCTAGGCCCAGAAAACTATTCCCTTATCCTGACTTTCACCTTCAGAAATTAAAACAAGTCATTAAGATGAGATAATAACCCTATATAATGAGTGAGAGATTATAGGTCTCTTCTAAGGAGTGTGTGAACTTGTCTCACCCAGTAAGAAAATTTCACCATCAAATGAGGGCACAATTTGTAGAAGAAATTCACAGTAGAGAAATTTTTCCAATAGGCTACTCATCGTGTGTTGTGTACACACACACACAACTCTCTCTCTCTCAAGCTTTATCAATTAAAAATGATTTGATGGGGCTGGCCCTGTGGCTTAGCGATTAAGTGCACGCGCTCCGCTACTGCGGCCCGGGTTCGGATCCCGGGCGCGCACTTGCGCACCGCTTCTCCGGCCATGCTGAGGCCGTGTCCCACATACAGCAACTAGAAGGATGTGCAGCTATGACATACAACTATCTACTGGGGCTTTGGGGAAAAAAAAAGAAAAAAAAGGGGGAGGATTGGCAATAGATGTTAGCTCAGAGCCGGTCTTCCTCAGCAAAGAGAGGAGGATTAGCATGGATGTTAGCTCAGGGCTGATCTTCCTCATGCACACAAAAAAAGATTAAAAAAAAATGATTCGATGGTGTCAATATGGTTACGAATCTTTTATTAGTTTACTAACTCAAGAAACAAAATGTATATGCACATATAGAGTCACCACTGTGTTACTAACATTCAAGTTCTATAGACTCACATCAGTGGGCTTGGGAAATTTGGGGCATTACCCTTAGTCTTCAACACATTCCAAGGACTTAACTATTTGTGAATACTATTTCCCAACCACTCTGACTGCAACGTTCTATCTAGTTAGCCCTTGTATTACTTTTCCCCCACTATACCTGATGAGACTTCCGGTCTCTGAACTTGTCCAATGTCACCTAATCTACCAAACTGGCCTCATCCGTGTTCTGTCCAGGATGGAAAACATGGCCCACCACTGAAACCCTCCCTTGCTTTTTTATCCTTCTCCAGATCTTGCCCAGCAAACTGTAACCTTAGATCCTCAACTGTTACGTTCGGAGGGCTGAGAGGTGCTGGAGAACATCTTACACCTGAGCCCACTGGTATCCCACAGCCTCATGGACCCACACAGCTGAGTCTTAGTCCTGTCTGGCAATCTTTATACATGCGCTTACAAAGCCTCTCATTCCTCATAGAAGCTATTTCACAAGTCTGTCACCCAGAAGTCGCCTACCTTCTTCCTCTCCACCTCACTCTCAGCACATTGCCTTGTCTCTTACTCTGTAAAGAAAATACACATGAGACAGGAAAGCTCTCCGATTCCCATCATCCCCTATGCTTTTATTTGTATGTGCACCCATCTTTCTTCCCTTCTGACACACCAAGGTGAATTCCTCACCAGATTTCTGAATTTGCATGACCCTTTCTGGCTGGGAAATCCTTACTCAATGGTTTTGCTCTCCACTGCCTCTTCCTTCTCCACTGGCTCTTTTCTCTCAGCATTTAAACGTGTTCCAACTTGTGTGTCATTCTGAAAAAACCCGTTGGTGTGCTTGTTTCTTTTCTTCCTCGCCCAGCCAAACTTCCTGGAGGAGTTGCCTACCCCTGTTTTCAGTTGCTCAGCTCCCATTCACTCTTAACCCACTGCAATCTGGCTTAACGCCCACTGCTTCCCCGAACACAGCAATCCTGTTCTAGTTGCCACACTCTATGGACATTTTTCAGCCCTTATCTCACTCAGCGCTTTCCAGTTGAGTCAACTTACTGTTGACTCAGTTCTCAAAATTCTTCCTTTACTTTCAAAACCTCTCACTCTTTGTTCTTCCACCTCACATCCTCCTCCAAGGCAATCTCTGCTCCAACAACATAGAAACAATTGCAGTTCTCCCCTTGTGCTCCTCATGCTAGATATCTGCCATTTTCTCTTTCTAGAACAATCTTCATGCCCTTCTCTTTCTAGCTAACTCCTACTAATCTTTCAGGATACAATTCTGATACACTATGCCTCCAGGAAGTGTCCCCCAACCTCCAGACTAGATGAAGTTTCCCTCTTCCGTGTACCCATAGCATCCTGTGCAAACCTCTATCTAGCAGATTGCCAGGATTTTAATTTCCAGTTTATTTGTCTTGTTTTTCATCTCATCTGTAAGCCTCTTGATAACATATATGCACAGAACCTGGCATGAAGTGGATCTTCAACAAAAATTAGTCAAATGGAGTTGAATTACAACATGTAGGAGAAGTCCTACAATGGAGAGGACCCTTAATCATAGGCTTCTAAGAGCATTCTCCTTTATTTTTGGCATGGCAAATGATCTGCCCCCTCTGTGACCATCTTCTTTCTTCCTCTTGCACACTCTGGAAGATGCAAAATCTTGACACTTTACAAATGCTCAAGTAAGGTGCCCTTGGTCCCTGCTCCCGTGATGAATACAGTGGGATGGACATACGAAGAGGGGTGAGTGGCTGCTGGTGGCAAGAAGATGGTATTAAAAGCTAGTACGCCCATGATCATCATATTTAAGGTCAGACAATACATGGATTTTGAAAAGACAATTTCACGTGTATCATATATTTCCAATGAGATTGTAAGCTCCTTAAGATCAGGGGCTTCATCTTATGTTTCTTGTTACTCCTAAGCACCTGGAGTTTAAGTTACTTTCAAAGACAGTCCTCTGTGTGGGGATATGTTCATATAAAGCAGGTCTCAGGCGACCGACTAGGCCAACTGGCCCATTGTATCCAGTGACACCTTACACTTCCCTATCGTGGCCCCACTCTTATATTCTGTGCTTATGTCTGTCTTCCCCACTGCTGTAAGTGCATGGCTATGTCTGTCTTACTCGCTGCTGTGCCCCAGCACGTGATAGAGTGCCTGGCACATAGCAGGTGTAAATAAATGTCTATTGATGAACTGATGTTATATGTAACATACAACATGTGTGCAAATAGATGCATTTGCACATTCATGTTCTACATCCGTATGTCATTGGCTTGTTGGTTGGTGGGAGGTATGAGGTCTCAGGTGACTAGACTCGTTGATGACTTAGTTTAGGAAAACAAATAGAAATCTCTTTGACTTGGGCTTTTTTTCTTGACCAGTTTATGGGTGTCTTAAACTACCCTAGAACATATAGAAACAGCTATTATACAAAACTCAGAGGGAATGTAAAGATTCATGGGGTGGACGTTGCATTTAGATGCATCAAATATTGCTTCAGATCAGTTCCTGGCCGGGCTCAGTGGCGTCTCTCTGAGGGAGACTCTTGCAGCGGCACTAGCCTGCAGTTGCCTCCTGAGCAACGTGACAAAGAGCCCCTCCGTTTCAGAAAAACCTTGCAGACTCTTCCCATTTCTTCTTCATTTGGATTTTTCTGTTTCTCCTAGAGTTTACTAAAAATTTATTTGTGTTTCTTACAAACATCTATTTCCCTAAACCTTAAGTATCCTTTAAGGTGTGTATATTTTGATATTCAATTTTCTATGGGTATTTTCCAGTTCTTGGAGACTTGCTGTGCTGAGTTAGAAGAAACGTAAAAGCATACGTTTCCTTATGGATCTAGCAGCACAAAGAGGTGATGAGTACAGAGCAGAAAGGACCCATCATCTATTGACAACATAAGCAGGAAACAATCTGTGGCACCTTTACCCGCGTTAAAGCATTTAATATTCCCCAACATGGACATAGGCATTGTTATCCCAGTTCATAGTGTCACCACAGTTCACAAAACCCTGCGTGACGGTCTGGTCCCTGCCATCCTTTCCAAATTCATCTCCTATCACCCTCCTTTTCCTTTTCCAGGCTCCAACCACAGTGGCCTCCTCCCGGCCCTTGAGCCTTGCCAAGCATGCTCTTGTTTTAGGGGCCTTGGAATTTGCTTTCCCAAGCTGTCTTCAGGACTCACTCAAATGTCACCTCCCTAGAGAAGCCTTCCCTGGCCACCCGATCTAAAAGAGCAGCCTCTTTACTCTCTAGTCCCTTATCCTATTTTATTTTTCTTCATGGGACTTATCATACCTGATATTACATTATACACACACACGTGCATGTGTACACATATATGTGTGTATATGTATGTATGTATATACACATATATCCTGTAATTTCAACCAGAGGGCAAGTATCTCTATCTTGTTCACTGTTGTCTTGTTCACTGTTGCGCCCCAACACCTAGACCGGTAGTTACTAGATAAATATTGAAAGAATGCTTCTATTTCAGAAGAGAACACTGAGGCATCGAGTGTCATCAGACCTAAGTTCTCCTCCTCTGGAGGTTTTGGGAAGGCAGGATTTTTCAAGCTGAACTCCTTGGTCATTCACCACTGTGCCCTGTCTCGTCACTTCCCTATGCCGGTGCCTCGGAGCCTGCACTGGAAATAATGGCCTTTGCTGATCCCTTCCTACCAGGTGGACTGGAGACGCCAGTGGATTTCCCAGATTGTGGAGGAGGTGCAGAAGGTCGTCCACTGTCTGACCACAGAAATCAGCTACCGAGACCTTCGATTCCAGGCCGTCCCTTACTCTGACACGTATAACGGGAACATCAAGGTCAGGAGGCCTCACTCGTCTCTAAGTGCCCACCCAGAGAGCCAGGAAACCGGGGGGCGGGTCTCGGTATGTGACAGGCGCTCACCCCACGAAGAAGACTAGTCATACTTCAGGTTTCCACAGGTACTCTTAGTATTTACCATTACAAACTCATTTCATAGACTTTGTCTCCTTTGAACCCCCACATTTCCACTTTACAGATGACAAAAATTGAGGCTTAGAGAAGTCCAACAACTTGATCAAGTCATCTTAGACACTAAAGCCAGAACTCAAACCGGGGCTTCTGATTCCACAGCACATTCCACGGTAACGACTCAAATTTAGTTAAGCACACGTTTGTTTATTAAGCACCTACGTAACAGATTGGGGACTGGCTAGAGGGAAGTCAGGGCGCTGGTGAGAAAATAGTTGAAAGTGGTAGTCTATGGGTTGCAGGTGGGGGAAGGAAGAACATGGAAGAGGTGGCCCTTAGAGACCACAGGAGCAGCCTTGCAACCCCTGTCCCTGCTGAGCAATCCCACAGAGCTCTAAGCCCCCAGGGCCCATGTGTGACACCAGCATTCATGCAACACTGTAGTGGGGGCAAAGCTGTTCTCGCAGTAATGATCTCACTCAAACCTGCAAACAACCTTGTGGAACTCCCTTTTAGAGCTGGGAGAAGTGAGACTCTGAATCATTCTGAATCCCCGTGCTCCTTATCCCAATTTTTCTTATGACATATAAGAACCCCTTTCACTTGTATTAACTTATGTGTATTCATGCCCTCTCTCTCACACAAGACCGTAAATTCCTTGATTGCGAGGATCATGTTTATTGATTGCTCCGTTCCTAGCACCCAGCATGGCGTGTGGCCCATGGTAGACACTCAACTTGTGTTAAATGAATGAATGAGCAAAAGAATGCTACCTGAACAAAAGACCATTCCTGGTCCAGTACCTTTCAAGGTTGGCGGGCACAAGGACCACCCACAAGATTCTGGGACTTGTGGATTTGGGGACAGAGTCAGATCTTAGGAAATTCACCCCAGGATGAAAATTGTAAAACTAGATTGGATCCTGCCTGAAATGTCAGAACATCACGCCCAGCTCTACCACCTAACCAACCTAAATTAGACAAATATAGACCAGTGATTAGGAATAGAAAGATAACATTATTTTTCCTAGAACATATCTGAGGAAATTTCCTCCTGTGGTCTCACTTGGAATACATAGCTTAAAATATATCTTGTATTTATATACATTATGTCCTTCATATTAAGTTTTGAAAATAGTTATAGAGGGGCATAAGAAATGGCTTTTATTTTATCTTGGATCAAATTCAACAAGTACTTATTAAGCACCATTTATATGACTAGTAACATGATAGTTGTGCTCTTGAATTCACAAACAAGTGGGTTCAAATAATGTATAGATTTTGAGTGCCATAGTTTAGATTTTTTCCCCTCTTTTTTAATGCCATCTCCTTCCTATGAACACCAGAAGTCATGCAGACACATCATCTAAGGCATCACCTTGTTCTCTGAGAATGAGGCAAAATCAGTTGTTGCTGATTTTGGTGTTCATCCCTGAATTGGCCAATGACTGGGCCCTGGGCAAAGGTTAACCAAATTTCACTGTTAGAACTTTCCATGAATAGGAGGTGGCTCCTCCAGTGTACAGCTGACTGATGGGAAAGGTGCAGTGTGGAGTGGGCTGCCACATGATGTGGTCAAAGGTCAAGGTCTTTTTGGTGGTACTGCACTGTTGACCAATCTGTTCTATCCGTTGGACTATTGGCCTGACCACTTTCACCCTGACTGCTGCTTAACTGGTTCCTGCAGAAAGAGAGTAGGTAGATTCTGATCGTTCGCTTTATTCCATTAAATTTAGAATCTTCTCAATAGCTCTCCTTGTCTCAATGAACAGGCCTTCATTTCACCTGTGATTTTGTAAGAATTAGTCATTAATACTAGCTGTGGGTCATCAGTACAAGCAAAAAGAAAGGCATTTTGCAGAATATTTTCACCACCTCTCCCATCCCCTCCTGCTCTTGATTCATACAAGACCTTTGACCCATTCCAGGTCATTCATTCTTGACTGAGAGCCAGCCCAGGTTAGAAAAACAACCATTGAACAAGCAATCAGGAGGCCTAAGCCCAAGTTCTGGCTCTACCACTTACTGGCTGAGTGTCCCTGGGGAGATCTTGGAGACCCTCTGAACCTTGGGTTCCTCATAGAGAAATGTCAGCAAAGCCCACCTCATGCGACTGTGAAGATGAAATAGGCTAATGCATAAGAATTGCAGTGCTTAGTGTGTGTGGAACTCAGTGAATACCAGTGCCTTTCCCCGCTCTTTCTTCTCCCCCTAAACCTTAGGTGTCCTCTGCAGTTCCAGGTTGAGTTCACTCTCTTTCCTCGCAGATTCATGAAACCAAGGACTCAGTGAGTTAATTAGCTGCCAGAAGTGGTACAATGGGTTAGTGGCAGAAGAAAGATGCAGTCCTCTTGCAAAGGCAGGTGCAGTTCTCTGTCCACCTTGTCACACTGCTGACTGCTGAGTAACTGAGCTTCCTGGGTCAACAGGTCAGCTGCCCGAGAACTTCTGTTACCTCTCAAGTCTGTGAACTCATATTCATTCTCTCTTCTTTCCTGACCCCAGGTTTTGGCCCCCAGCCAGTTCCTCGTCACAGTCCCAGTGAAAGGCCTGGCCGGGTACAGGGAGGCCAAGGAGCAGCACTGGCGATACTACACCCTGCAGGGCACCAGGCTGCCCTGCCCCTTGCGGGACCCTGAGGGCCTGGAGCAGTGGCTGGCAGTGGAGCAGTTTATGAAGAGCCTGTGGCAGTGGCACGAGGCAGATGTGAACATCGAGGGAGACATCGTGCCTGCCAAGGTCCTCCAGGTGTTCCGGAAGCTGGTAGAAAACGCAATTGGAACCTGTCACCTCTCAGGTGAGCTGATCAGGATAAGGGCAAGGGGAATTTCCGGCATTTCCCTTTTGCTCTAAAAATCCTCTGCTGGGGTACTCCCCGAAGCTCATGCCCCTAAACTGAGACAGTAATTGTGTGCTCTTTACATCTGTTTAATCCCCATAATGTGAATTAGCTCTTTTTTCTGCTGTGACGCACAGAAGAACACAATTCATACTCACAACACACTCCCGTGGGTTTCAGTAGATCACTGCGCTGGCATAGGCATTGGGTTACGCTTAAAAACTTGGGCACTCTTTTTAAAAAGCAAATTACTCCCAAACTTCAGATCTTTGTTATTAGAGCATTTCTACTACAACAACTTCCAACTGACTGCAGGACCCAGTGTGTTGAGATAACACATTTGGAAACCACTGACTTGTACCAACACACAAAATCCAGAAGTCATAAAGAACTGATTAAGTTTGACAACTCCAAAACCTAAAGCTACAGTACAGTGTGGCCTGTGTGTGCACCCACACACACACACACAAACACACCTGTTTTGTTCACACAAAGTAAAAAGGTGAATTTCAAACTGAGAAAAAATGGCTAATTTCCTTAAGTATAAAAGAGTATTTATAAGCCAATAAGAAAAAAATATGAGCAGACCAATAGAGCTAATGACAAAAAAAATGAATCACGGAAAAAGAATACAAATGGTTGGTAAAAATAAGAAAAAATGTTCCATCTAACATATATTTCAAGAAATGTACATTACAACACCTAACAGGTTGACAGAGATGAAAAAGTGTGATTATGCTCAGTGTAGGGGTGGGCATAGTGAAACAGGTATTTTCATACATTGTTCTTGGAAGTGCGAATTGGTGCCTCCTTTTTAAAGGGCAATTAATCTGTTTTTATATTTATAATGTGCCTACTTGGCAATTCAGCAATTCCAGTTCTAGAAATATATTCTTATATATACACAAAGAAATATCCACAAAGATATCCACTGCCATAGGCTTTGTAATAGTAAATAACTACAGTCATGTGCCACATGATGTTTCGGTTAACAATGGACAGCATATATGATGGTGGTCCCATAAGATTAGTACCATATAGCCTAGGTGTGTAGTAGGTTATGCCATCTAAGTTTGTGTAAGTACAAACTTACAATGTTTGCACAACGAAATCACCTAACGATGCATTTCTCAGAATGTATCCCTGTCGTCAAGCAGCACGTGACTGTAAAAATCATCTAAATAGCTAACAAAGGAAAATTGACTATATAAATTATGCTACCTCTGCCATAATAGTGGACTATTATGCAGCCTATAAAAGGAATGATGTATGTATGTGTATATGCACACAGTTATGAAAAATGACTGGGCTAGATATGAAGTGAAAAAACAAATTGCTGAACAATACATGATTCCATTTGTATAGAAAGAAAAGGATCAGGCCGGCCCCGTGGCTTAGCGGTTAAATGCGCGCGCTCCACTACTGGCGGCCCGGATTCGGATCCTGACGCACCGATGCACCGCTTCTCTGGCCATGCTGAGGCTGCGTCCCACATACAGCAACTAGAAGGATGTGCAACTATGACATACAACTATCTACTAGGGCTTTGGGGAAAAAAAAGGAGGAGGATTGGCAGTAGCTGTTAGCTCAGAGCCGGTCTTCCTCAGCAAAAAGAGGAAGATTAGCACGGATGTTAGCTCAGGGCTGATCTTCTTTGCAAAAAAAAAAAGAAAGAAAGAAAAGGATTCGTATGTAAGTTTGCTTTTCTAGACAGAACAGTTCTGAAAGGTTCCATAATGGAAATAACTCATGATTAATGGGTTTTTACCATGTATAGGATGCTTTCATGGATTAATTAATGCTAAAAGCAACCTAGAGAGTAAGCATTATTTTTCTACCATTCTACAGATGAGATAACTGAGATTTAGTGAGAGTAACATGCCGAGGGTCACACACCTGTAAGCAGAGCGGCAGAAGCAGGGTGTGGACCAGGCAGGCTGTTTCCTGCATCTGCTCGCCTCTTTGCTTTCTGACACTATTAACAGTGAAAGTGCAAATAAGAGATTCAAACTGGGCCAGGTTGATGAGGTGCTCTCAGTAAATAATGCTGAAGTGCCAGATGTTGTCACGCTCCTGTCTGGGCGCCTCTGATGAGATGCAGATAATAAGCTCTTTATCACACCCCAGCCAAGGGGAGGAATGCTTTCCTTTTGAACAGCCTAACACAATTAACGAACGAGCTGCTGTTTTCTTCTCTGAGTGAGGAAAAGCAAAAGAATAGATCCTGATTCAAGACAGCTCATCCTGATCTGTAATGAAGGCAAACTAACAAAAAGCCCACTGTGTATTTTTTGGAAGCAAGGGGAACAGATTAGAAATGAATTCTAGTGTATGAGTTAACCGTGAGTTAACACTGGAAAAGTTAACCAGATGGATTTACTTTCTCTCCCTCTCTTTGCCTGGTTGGAAAAGGCAGTGAGGGCTCCTTTTCACTCACTCAACCCTCTAAGCTGGTGGCTATGACATACTTTGAAGTATTCTATGATTACAAGGGCTTATGATGGTACATACATCTCAGGCTAGGCTGGCTTAATGGGTGGTGGGAAAAAATACCGTCTGCGAGTCTGGAACTCAAGTAAGAGACAGGTTATGCTGAACACCATCAAAGGCAGATGAGTGGGTAAGGGCACTGAGGCTGTCCTACACAAGGTCGGGACATCTGGGTGGAATGGACTTAGAAGAATGGTTGGATTTCATTTTACAATAGCAAATACTACACCTTTTCTTTGCATTCTGTGTCTTCTTCAGTTGAGCCTTCTGAAAAGAATCTACTAATTTAACAGAAAAGCTACCATAAAAGACTTAGGGGAAGGGGGAGAAAGAAAAAAGAAAAACCCATCAACAGTGAGATTTTCTAGCAATGCTTCTGTTAGTATTTACTTGGCTAATTATCTAGTTTATCTTGTTTGACATAAACACCGCGCCCTTGGTGTGTTACTGACATAGTGCAAGTTGCCCCACCAGTTGCAAGGAGCTGTCAGGGCTGCTGATCAGAGCTGCTGCTCACAAATTCCTTGTCTGAATGCTTGTGTTCAGAGACCTTCCTCTTCTCATTCTCTGTCGTTTCCCACCAGGTAAGGTCAGCATGCTAGCAAACCGCCGTGCAGTTTGCGTTGCCGTGGAAACATCCGCATGTCAGGTGGAAGTAGAGCTGGCCCCCGCAGTGGAGATCCCCACCGTCTGGTCCAAGAAAGCCCAGTGGCCTCCATGCCTGAAGCGCTGGCCTTCCCCAGAGAGAGTAGAGTGCATCAAGGTATCAGTGGGCGGGGCCCCCGCTCACCAGAGCAGAGACACTCACAGCTTAACCAACCACAGCCTCACTGACTGCCAACCAGCTTCAGAAGGAAAACTGAGGTTTCACTAGTTCAGTGGTTCTCAAAGTGTGGGCCTCAGAACCTCCAGCGGCACCTAGAACCTGTTAGGGATGCAGATCCCTGAGCCCCACTCTGGACCCACTGAATGAGACTTGGTGGGCAGGGCCCAGCAATCTGTGTTTTAACAAGCCCTCCAGGTGATTCTGGTGCAGGCTCAAGTTAGAGAACCACTGCCCGAGAGAAACTGGACACAACCTCTCCAATTAACTGCCCACGTGCAAGGGGGTTTGCCCTGAGGCTCCCTCCGTGTCCCCATGTAGGATGGACTGCCTGGCCGGTGGCAGGTCCCCCAGACTAGTGGACTGCTTCAGAGATGGCTTTCTACTCTGGCAAGCATCATCCTTCTCATTTTCCCGATATATTTCTCTTCTTCCAGTCATTTGGATTTACCTTGTTGGCCTGTTCAAATTATCACTGGCAGCTGAGCTTCTTGCAGGCCGAGCAGGTGTTGCTGGAGCAGCTGGATGAGGACGGGGGCTGCCGCAGGAAGTGTTTTCAGGTCATGAGGCAGATGAAGGAGGATCATTGGTGTCCAGGGAAGAGGCCTGTTATCACATCCCACCATCTGCAGGTGAGTGTGCAGGATGTGGGCCACAGAGGGCCCACGGCAGCTGTGATTGGGTGGGTGTCCTCTGCGTCCCCTCAGGGCCTGGCGAGAGCCACTCAGAAAGGACAGTGGGTATGTGACGAATTCAGGATGGGGCTCTAGTGTCCATATTTGCCACCCCACGAATTATCACTCATGTGGAGACCTGTAAACCCAGGTATGTGTGTCCACACACCTCCGCCTCCCTCCCTTCTCTTTCCTAGTCCCCTCTCCCTTTTCTTTCTTCCTGTCTTTACTTTTTCTTCTCTCTCTCCCTCTCCTCCCCTTTTATTTCACTCAACAAACCAACAAGCGTGTCCACTATGTGCCAGAAACCCTGCCGAGGTTCAGAAATGAATTAGAACGTGTGGTCTCTGCCCTTGGAAAATCTACAATCTGGTGAAATCTTGTGAGTTGCTCAAACCTCAGATGAATTCTTGTTTTCCCTGTTATGACTCACTCCATCTGCACTCTAGCCCAAGTGCAGCCACTCACGTGCACATGCATACACACACACTCTAAGCAGAGGGGAAACCAGGAAATGCTGGGGTTACTACACGAACATTGCTGCAAACCTGAACTTCCAGGTTCCAAATCGTCAGCCAAGAATTTTCCCTCGCTCTGCCAGCAACAGCCTCCCCTTGCCCCAGACCCAACATTATACGTGCATGAATTCATTCACTCACTTGCTCACTCAGCAAATGTTTGTTGAGATTACTATGGACCAGACACCTGGCCCCACACCTGCTGTGTGCTCTACACCTGGAGGTACAAGGTGAACAGAGGCAGACATGGTTGTTGCCCTCATGGAGCTTGCAGTCTAGCAGAGGAAACAGACATGGTCCAACAGTCCTATAGGTATGTGTGGAGTCATGCAGCATGGGGAGCACTAGGAAGGAGAGGAGGAGAACTCTGTGAGGGCTCAGAGCAGCAGAACCTGACCTGGGCTGGGGGTCCAGGGGGCTTCCTCCGGAGAGGGGCCTTTGATCACACTCCCAACTCCTCTTTCTCAAATTTCTGACCACACATGGTGAACTAGACACTCATGTAACACCGCGTGCAGCACACTGGTGTTGGGAAGTGTCAGACTCTTACAGACAGCACAGGCCCAGCCTAGCTAGTAGCTGTCAGGGAGCTTCAGCCCTTCTCCCTGACCTTCCACTAGGTGAGCACAAGTTCCCGGGGTGAGTTGGGGGGAGGGGGTCACCTGGCTGGGTGGTGCCTTCCTTGCATGCTCCTACCTGTGCCTCCTCATTCAGTGGACAACCATTTTCCAGCCCTGGGTTACTCTTTCAGCTCTAATGTCATCTACTTGATGGCAAGTGCCGTGTTGGTCTTGTTCATTACTGAAGCCCTAGGATCTTTCCCAATGATTCTTACAGAGTAGTTGCTCAGTCAATATTTGTTGACCAAATGAATGAACAACTTCACCTCTTATTCAACGTTTTTCCCCACAAAATCACTAGTCTTTGCTTTGTTTTCTTATCTTTCCTCAGAACCTATCCCCCCTGACCTGCCCAAGAATTTGTTCACATCTCATTTGCCCGTACTGGGGCCTTTCTCCGGAGTTTCAACATTCTCAACATGTCCCCAAGATCATTCCCCTAAAAACACACAAACCCTTCTCCTGGACTAGTGTGTGCTTTCTGAAGATAGTCTAATCCACTCTATGTATTTAGCTTCTTGCTTGCTTGCCTTTCTAAAGGCCACACTAGGAAGAACCAGAGCTGAGAAGCAAACTCCAAGCTGTCTCATATCAAAACCTCATAATCTTAACTATTGACTTCATTGCTTTACAATTAAGATAGAAGGGAACATTAAGTGGTGTGAATATTTTAGCTGAGAGTGAATGGGGCCACCCTCGCCTCAGAGCCCCAGGCTGCTCTCAGAACTGCATTCCACCCAAAGTCTGACTTTTGTTCCAGTGGCTCCTAAGTCATCTAGAGGATTATGGGCAACTCCGTAAGGTTCTCTGTTTCAACCCTCCCTAATCCACCTACAAGGAACAATAAAATTGTGCATTCTCAAGAATGGGCATTGAAAAAGGGGGTTATTTGTTGAGAAGGATGGGACAAACAGAAACAGCACTCACCGCCTTTTCCTCTAGTCTTCCACCCTTTGTCCGAGGGCAGAATTCTCTCATCATTAGGCATAGGGATGGATGTGGCTGGTGACAATGTGGTGTTAGACATGGCCTCCTCCCCAGAGAGGCTCTCCCAAGGGATTTCATGTGAAGCAAGAGCTTATCTTTCATTGGTTTATTTATTCCTAAACCCACTCAAAGGCCCAGGGGCTTGATTATAATAGGCTTAACTGCTTCAGTTTGCTTAGGGAGCTAAAAGCTTAACTACAAAAAGAATTAAAACATTTTTTTTGTATCGAGGTTATCTTAACTAGCATGATATTATCTCCAACTCACTTACTCAAAACAATGTAATCTAAGCCAAAACACAGTCAATATCTTGCTGTGAAACTAAAACTGCTCTTTTACTTTCTCATAAAGACTGTGTTCTAAAAATACTCAACATCTAAACCATAACATTAGTTAATTATTTCACTTAGTCAACAAACGTTTATTGACTGCCCCCTGTGGGCCAGGCCCACTGCTGGGTGCTAGTGACGTAATAGTGAATAAAAAGAGACATAGCCCTCTGCTCTCGTGGAGTGTACAGTCTAGTAGGGCATCACATAAAGAAACATAAAAACAACTATTACTGTGGTCACTGCTGCTTAGAAGAAGTACCTGGCGAGGAGAATTTTCAATGGATGGCACGGGGAAATTTGATCTGATGGATGAGTTTCCTGGACAAATTGGGGGAGGAAGTTTGTTCCATGCAGAAGAAATTGGATGAGAAAGGCCCCGTGATAAAAGAGAGCGTGAAGCAGGGCCGGTGTGGCCAGAAGGAGAAGCAGGGGAAAAACGTAGGGCAAGATGAGGCTGGAGAGAAAGACAGGGACCAAACTTTATACACCAAACCATGGTAAGGGTTGTATTTTTAATTAACAAACAATGGGAAGAAGTATTTTAGACAAGAATACTTCAATACAAAGTATTGAAATACTTGAATACTTTGAAGTATTTTAGACAAGAAGAAACAGACAGATTTATATTTCAAAAAGTATTGTTGGCTGCAGTGTGGATGGTGACAGATTGGATGGTGACAAGAATAGGTGTAGACTGGTTACCCGGCCGTTGCAGAGGTCCAGGTGAGATGTGATGGAAGAGGATGATGATATTAGAGGTGAAGGTTGGTGGGTAGATTTGAGAAATAGCGAGGCAGCAGGATGGGCAGGACTTGATTGGGGGTGCGGGAGGGGATGGCGTCTAGGTTCGCGTCTTGCGTGACCGGCTGGAAGAGCAAGTCTGGAGGCGGAGCAGATGTGCGGGGTAAGGTCATGAGTTTGGTTTGGACGTGTTGGCTGAGATAACTTTCAGATTTCCAAGAGGTATTAGGTAAGGGGGTCAGAGGTGAAGTCTAGGCTGGAGGGAAACAATTGCAAGTCACCTATATTTAGTGGGAATTACAACCCCTGTTGTGGAAGGAAGATAGAGTAAGAGGAGAAGAGGGCCTGGAACCAAACCTCCAAAACTCCAACATTAGAGGCAGGTAAAGGGGATGGGGATGAGCAAGCACGCCCAGGAGCCTCTGTAGTGCTTGGAGAAACCCCAGAGAGTACGATGGCTTGGAAGCCAAGTGAAGAATGGCTCAAGAGGGAGGGTATAGGTGTGAGAATCAGCTTCTGCTGAAAGCTCAGGTCAGGTAAGTGAGGGCTGGGAAAGGTCTGTTGGACTGAGCTGCATGGAGATCATTGGACCTTAGGGAGAGCAGCTTTTGAGGATTGATGGCAGAAGAATCCTTACTGGAGTGACTGAGGTGGGGCATCAGAGGAGAGGAAATGATGACAAATAACTGAGATGCTTCTTTGGAGAAACCTGGATTTGCAGAGTTAGGGCAGGAGGGAGATGTGGGATGAGGGGAGCAGGAGAGCTTCGACCAGGTTTAAAAGCCAGTACGAAAGAGGGAAATCAATCATATCCAGTTCCTGGAAGGGAAGATCCCGAGCCCTGCAGAGCTGCAGAGGATTCGCCTCAGCTGGGAGCAGTGGCTCATGCAGAGGGGAAGAGGAAGATGCTGATGTGGGAACTGTCTGGTTTGCAGGCATGAGGGTGACCATTTTCCCTGTAAAGCAGCAGGCATAGGCCCCTGTCCGGGGTGGGGTAGTGCAGGTTAAGGAAAGTGGTGATCACAGGAAATGCCAGTGGAAAGAGAATAAATTAACAAAGAGGCGTAGGAGACCAGCAGCGCGAGGCTGAGAGCCCACTTGAGGTTGGGGACCGTGACTTCACGGCAGAACCAACTTGCCCTGGATGACTTCTTTCTCTCTCTTCCAAGGCCCCGTGAGCTCAGTAATGTTTCTGAAGATATTCTCCGCAACTGCCCAGAACCATGTCTGACAGCACCTCTTCCTTCCCCAGACAGTGCTCTTCTGGACTTGTGAGAAATATCCGCGCTTGAAGGACTGGCAGATCTTCAGCAAAGCCTTCCTGCGCCTGGTGAGGAAGCTGCACAAGTGCGTGAGCCAGCACTTTCTGAAACACTACTTCGTGCGCAAGAGCAACCTCCTTCAGTATGCCAACTGGGGTGAGCTGGATGCGGTGGCCCAGAAACTGGCCTTCTTCCTGAAGGATCCCCACATCAGCCTGCCCTGAGGCTCTTGGACTTTTCATTCTAACTTGACCTCATTCTCTGGGATTAATCCAGTCAGATGCCAGGATCCTGTCCAGGAGAGAAGCAACAGATGGCAGAGGAATTGACATCGGCCCAGTAGCACTCAAGAGGGGGAGAACTGTGCCCTAAGATGTCTGACCCAGTCCTCCCTGGAGTGAAGCCAGCATTTCAACCCTCACTAGCTACCTCTCTTGGGGACAGCTTGCAGCAAGCTTCCCCAAGCCAGATTCTGAACTGATGACAGTTCCGAAGTTATTTTCCCTTGCTCAGGCTCCAAAGGTCTGACAGGGAAGATGGAGACAAGAACCTCTGGAGGGCCAGGCATCCGCCAGCTGCCCAGCAGTGGTTCTCCAGCCCACAGACCATGGGCTCATTATCTTTCCATTTGTAAAATGGGACTGTTAATATGCCCCCCTCACAGCAGGGCTCTGAACCCATGAGACTGTGCTGGTGCCCTTTGGAGGGGAAGGTACTGGATGAGCACAAAGTGTTACTGTTGGTTTAGTAGCCGGTCTTTGTGTCCGGGATCAATACCTACCCCACTGATTCAATGATTATGTCTGCTGGTTTAGCACGCCTGTGTTTCCGTCGCTGCCCTCCAGCTCTCCCAAACGGTGGTTCGTGGCTTGTGGTTCTGTCTGCTTCCCTGGTTTCTCTAAGTAGGAAAAGAGTGGTTTGATGACTAGTGTCAAAGATGAAGTGCAGCCACTACCCTCTCCTCGCTTCCCATGCCGTGGGACAGGGGTGGAACTTCCTAATATTTATGAATGAACTTGGTACTGTGATCTGCACGGAATGACTCGGGCGTCACTCACCTCTCCATTCCTTCCTTTGCTCACTTCATTCACTCACTCATTCATTGATAAAGGCATGTTCATTAGGCACTGTGAATGCAGCAAAGAGCAAGATGGACAAGGCTCACGTGATGGACGATGCCTAATGGTGGGGACAGGAAATGAACAACAGATAAATAAGCATGATCATTACAAATTGTAGCAAGTGCCTTGAAGGAAATAAACAGAATATTGAAATAGAGCCACAGAGAGATCCTTGAAGGATGAAAATGCAAACAACTGAAGGAGGAGGAAGGGGGGCCGAGGGCCGACTTGGAGGGGCTGGCATGAGTCAGCTGACTTGGCCTTGGAAAGCTGGTAAGGAATTTGTATTTCATTCTAAAATCAACGGTGTGACCTTTGTCCTCTCCTGAAGCAGAGGGGAATCATGATCTGATGTGCATTTTAAATGCCCATGCTAGCGGCTGCATAAAAATGGGGTTCACACAAGGGTCAGAGACACGGAGGGCTCTTGAGCACACCCGTTTTGAATTTCACTGAGGTCCCAAGGCCGCACATCCTGTGCAGCACATTGACCGGGAATTCTAGGAGTTCTTGGGGAAATCAATAGTTTCTTCTGGCATTTACTTAAAGTTCTCAACTCAAGGGAATCCTTTATCACTTAAAACATTTTCCCCAAATATGTGAGTGAAATTTCTAAAAGTGTCAACTACGGATTTTTTCAAGAAAAGTCACATTTGAAAATGAAAACAATTATTTTTACAAAAATGCTGTAACCAAATGGTGGGGTCCCTGGACTATCACATAGGAAATCATGGTTTTAAATTGTTGAAAAAAAAAAATCTTGCCAAATATATGAATTGATAATTTTTGAAAACATGAAATGATGAGCAAACCAATGTTTTGCTAAATCATCAAAACTTGCATTCAAATTCTCATATTCTTGGGTCTTGAGAAAAATTAGTTTTTTTTTTTTTAATTTTATTTATTTATTTATTTTTCCCCCAAAGCCCCAGTAGATAGTTGTATGTCATAGCTGCACATCCTTCTAGTTGCTGTATGTGGGACGCAGCCTCAGCATGGCCGGAGAAGCGGTGCGTCATTGGCGCCTGGGACCCGAACCCGGGCCGCCAGCAGTGGAACGCGGGCACTTAACCGCTAAGCCACGGGGCCGGCCCCAAAAAATTAGTTTTGAAAAGGTGGCAGATAGAACAAGATTTTTGTTTTTGTTTCTTTAATGATGACAACAGCTGAAGCAAGTTTTAAAACAGCTATGCAGTCACAGAATGCCAAAAAATGTAAGTTGACTGTACCATTGATTCAAAATGTGTTTATGTGTATGGAAGGGGTTGGGACTGACATACTCCACAGTCTGATTCCAGTAGATTCTTCCCACCTTTCCCTGTAGACCTGTAGTTTTTAGAGGAAATAGGGCTATTAGCAGATTCCTGAGTGTTCCTACTACTGGCCAGCAGAGGGCAGTGGGGGACCACATAGGAAAAGAGCCAAGTTCTCATCCAGGTTCTTTCTCAGAGCCCAGCAGGTGTCACTCGGCCCATAACTTACACCTGGTTTCTCCAAAATGGGAACCAAGGACAGTGGATTCCAGTTGATGCTAAATTGTTGATCTTTCCTGCCATTTGGCCAAAACTGATAGTCTGGCTGCTTAAAGCTCAGATTTAAAATGGGAGCTGATGAGAGGATAGTCCATCCTGGGGATTGTGGAGCATTCAGCTCCATTCTGTTTCCTGGGACAGACTGCACAGTTCTCAAAAGTCTGATAATATTACTCCTTTATTCTGGTCAGCCTTTTTTTTTTTTTTTTATTCTCCAAAAGGCTTTTTCTATCCATCACCATTCTTCTAGGCACAGGATGTTTTATAGCGGAATTGTTGGTATTCAGCCACTGCAATTGACATGCTTGCATTTGCATCCCAGCTCTGACACCGTAACTATATGCCCTTGGCAAGTTGTTCACCTCCCTAAATCTCCATTTCCTTATGGGCATTGTAATGGGCTGAATTGTGTCCCCCCCCAAATTTATATGTTGAAGCTCTAAACCCCAGTAACTCAGAATGTGACTGTATTTGGAGACAAGGACTTTAAAGGGGTAATTAAGTTAAAATGAGGCTGCTAGGGTGGCACCTTAATCCAATAGGACTGTGTCCTTATAAGAAGAGGAAGAGACACCATGGGCAGGCGTGCAAAGAGAAAAAGCCATCTGCAAGCCCAAGGAGAGAGGCCTTGGGAGAAACTAACACTGCTGGCACCTTGATCTTGGGCTTCCAACCTCCAGAACTGGGTGAAAATAATTTTCTGTTGTTTACGCCGTGCAGTCTGTGGGATTTTCTTATGGCAACCTGGGAAACTAATACAGGTGTTATGAGAGAATACATACTTCATTGCTTTGACGAGGAGAATAAATGGAATAATGGATGTAAAAAACTCTTCGTTTGGTACCTGGCATGGAGGAATTGTTGCATAAGCATTTAGCACGTTAGACGTGTACCCCTCATGGCCATTTGTTCATCTCTGCCATTCCTTACAACTACCCCCACCCCATATATAAATTCTTTATAAAGAAATTAGAAAACATCGCAAGGAAAACATTCACAAAATTTCACCCCAAATCCCATAAACCCATCTTTTCCTTTTGTCCTCTTGCTAAAATAGAGGAAGCGTCTCTCCTGATTTCTCCATACTCGATGGACCGATGCCTCCCAGCATCTCAGGGACGTCTTTCCAGTTATTTCCCGTAGCATCCTCCTGCAGCTACCGCCTGCCTCTCTTCTCCCCATCACTCTCCAGCTTCCTGAGTCAATATACGTGTGCCTCCACTTCCTCACCTCTTCACACTTTTTTTTATTGTGAAAAATATTATACATGAAAGAGTCTAAACTGTTTAAAGAATAATAATAAAACAAACACCAACATACTCACTATCTAGGTGAAAAAATAGCATATTGCCAGTACTTTAGATTTCTCCTAGGTGCCCCTTCAGTCCCCTAGCTCCCTCCCTCCCTAACATAGATAATCATGATCTCAAATTTTATGTTAGTCATTCTGCTGCTTTTCTTTACAGTTTTACCACTTACTGTGTTTCATTGAACCTAAGCCCCCAACAATTGTAAGATACATCATTATTTCATGTCTAGGAAAGAAAAAGTGCTGCTAAATGTAATTGCAAGACATCACTGATTATAAGATGCATCCCAAGTTTACAGAGATTAAAATGTGAAAAGGTGTATTTTAGAATCAACAAAATATGACCTGCATATATCCCAGTGTCTTTTTAGTTTTACCTGTTTTTTAACCTTTTTCTAAATGCAATCGTATTGTATTAAGTCTTCAGTGATTTGCTTAGAAGCAAATGTCCGCAGCATGCTTTTGAGATTCTCCCATGTGGATCATGTGGCAATGATATGGTCCTTTTCACTGCTGTATAATATTCCACTGCAAACTGATGCCACTTTATATATGTATGTTACTCTAATTGGGCATTTGGGTTGTTTCTTGTTTTAGTGACTTAAACTGTTTTTATGCACATTCTTATACACGTCTTCTGATGCACTCAAGTCTTTTAAGGGTATATAGGTAAGAGTGAAATTTCAAGTTCAAAGAATATATGTATGTTCAAATTTATGAGGTAATGTCAACATATTTTCTAAAATGATAGCACCAATCTAAATTCTCCTTTTGTGTGTGTGTGAGGAAGATCAGCCCTGAGCTAACATCCATGCCAATCCTCCTCTTTTTGCCAAGGAAATCTGGCCCTGAGCTAACATCTGTGCCCATCTTCCTCCACTTTATGTGGGACGCCACCACAGCATGGCCTGACAAGTGGTGCGTTGGTGCGCGCCCAGGATCCAAACCTGAGCCACCAGCAGTGGAGCATGGGCACTTAACCTCTACGCCATGGGGCCATCCCCTAAATTCTCCATTTTAATGTAGGTGAATTTTCAATGACTTTCTCCATTATAATGGAGTACCTTTCATGTCTTAAGAAATTCTTCCCCCACCCGGAGCTGAGCTAACATCTGCTGCCAATCTTCCTCTATTTTGTATGTGGGTTGCTGCCACAGCACAGCTGCTGATGAGTGGTGTAGGTCCACACCTGGGAACCAAACCCAGACTGCCAAAGTGGAGCTCACCGAATTTAACCACTAAGCCACGGGGTTGGCCCAATTCTTCCCTTTTTTTAAGGTCATGGAGATATGCTCCTAAATTCTCTAAAGTTTTATAGTTGTGTCTTACCAGAGTTAGGAAGTGCCCTCTACTTTTTCTATTCTATTCCAATAAAATTAGAATAATCTCTTTGCTTGAAAGTTTAGTAAAATTCGTCTAAAAAGTTGACTGGACCTTGTGTTTTCTTTGTCAGAAGATTTTAGACTATTAATTCATTTTCTTTTAGGGATAAAGAATATTCAGATTTTCTATTTCTTCTTGAGCAGTTGTTGTTAATTTGTATTTTACTAGAAATTTATCCATTTTATCTAAGTTTTCAAATTTACTGCATAAAACTGTTCATAATATTTTATTATTATGTATTTAAATTCTGATGCATCTGCA